GTGCCGGTCGCACAGGTTCTGCTTCACCTGAACCAGAATCGTCCAGACCTGGCGACGCATGTCAACGACTTGCTGCCTTAGTGCAGGACGTCCTCTGCTTGCGCGGGGTGGCGCCCTTCCGCCAGCAGCACGAGGTGGTGCAGTTGCCACCAGGTGAGTGCACGCGCCTCCACTACTTCCTGGTGCACCTGTGCTACGAGGGCTACGACGTCGTGCTGAGTTTCGCCGAAGACGCCGCACCTGTCACTGCGGCTGACGAGGCCATGTAGCTGCGAGCTCTCGTGCAACTCGATCACTTTTGTGCTTCTCTTTGTCTTCTGGTTTGCGCGCCCTGCAGGCTGCTGGTGCTCACCCGGCTGCATCGTCGGCATCCTTTGAGGCGCATGCAGCCTTCATGGGACCATTCCACGTGGACACCTAGGGACCCTGGCCATGCCGTTCTATAGACTTCCTGGTGGGCTTTCTGCGGTGTAGTCTAGCTCCTGTCCTGTGAGCTCCTAGACTGTGACTTGCGACTCCCGCTGGCGCATGTAAAGTAAATGCAGTCCTCGTTTCTCGCGGCCGAAGCTTGCTGCCCATGCTCTCGAGGATGCCGCCGGTGGCTTGCTCTCAGCCAGGCCGCCAGCCGTTGCGCCTCAGGAGAATTATAGTTGCTTCCAGTCCCCGCTTCTCTGTTTCTTCTTGTTGTTTGCGTCTCCGCTTATTTCTTGTTGTCTGAGCTTCTTGCAAGGTTGCCGGGTCCATCTTCGAGCCTGCGTTTGTTCTCCTCTTGCACGAGTCCAAGCGCTGCAGTGAGGCTTGACCTTGCGTAGAGTGTGGCCGCTCTGCATGCGCGACGCAAAAAAGCTGGTAGTTGGCGTGACATTTGCTTGACACCGTGTTACTGCTGCTTGTGCTGCTGGCTGCATCTTCCCCGCCCTGTGAAGGATATTGCCGAGTCGTCTCTGCGTGTTTGCTTTGGACGACACCAGGTCTTTGGGCGTTTCGCAGCTTCTGGCTGCTTCGCGTCCCCGGCGGCTGCTTCCTCTCTTTAGCTCCTCGTGCCACAGAGTTCTAGCCCGCCGGCCATGTCGACGAGCCTCGAGGACCTCTTGTATCCGCTGCCTCTGGCAAGCCTCGCAGTGCTGCTGTGTGGTTACCAGCGTCATGGCGACAGCCTTCCCCGACTACGTGGTGCCCTTGAAGGTGCAGGGTATGCTTGTGACGGGGTCTCTGATGTGGCCTTGCACAATGTTCTGCAGAAATTGCAACGCGCGCGACCGGAGTGGCTGCTGTCTGGCCGCAGCGGTGTCCACCAAGTCCCGACGCGTGTGGAACGCTGCTCGGACTGCGGCTGTGACCTGCGGGACCAGCCGCCGCTCCAGTGTCAGGTGCTGACCTCTGCTCATGGCCTTGTCTGCGGGCGTCTGTGCACCGCCTGCTCACGAACCTACAGCGGCTGCTGGTCCTGGGCCGCGGCCGCTGCGTCCTGTGCACGCCTGGAGTACGTGCCACGCGCGAACTACCACCCTGTATTTTCTGTATCTTTGTATTGTAAGCGTTGTGAACTTTAAGGACAGTACAAGTTTGTAACGCGAACCTCCACTCACTTTGATTTAATTTCAAAGAAGAGAAACGTATGCGAGAATTAAATCAAAGGGAAAACGAAAAAGGCCAAAAGACCCTAATTTTTATTGGCATTTTCTCGCTTCACTTCGTTCCATTGGAAAATACCAATTAAAATTAGGTCTTTTGTCTTTCGGTATTCTATTATGTCATATCATATCATATCATATCATATCATATCATATCATATCATATCATATCATATGGCATTACATACATCTTTTCATTACATTACAGTACATTACATTTGCATTACCTTACATTTACGTTCCCTCAGGACCACAAACAGGGTTTGCAGGAAGAGTGCCCAAGATCCTCGGTCTGCATCATGCTTGGAAGAACCCCGTGAAATTGCAGAAAACTCGCCTACACAACCCTGTGTCCATGGTTGAACTCAAAGCAAACCCCCAAAAGTTGGAAACCGGATTAACTAAGGACAATTAGTCCTGGGATTCCCTAAACATGACTCTTAAGGATTGAGGCTATTGGGTTTCCAACTGTTGGGCTGCTACTATAACCCTCCAAAAACCTGAAACCCAAACCCTTGAAAAAAAGGAGCGCAGACAAGAGGCCTAGGTTGCCCAAGGAGTGCATCAGAACCAGCAGCAGCAGGCGGCGGATCTCCAACTCAGATGCTTTGATGTTTCGTGGCTTCTATACCCATATCTTCCAAAACCCCTTAATTAAGGAGTATAGCTCAATTTATAGTACGATTCTAAATATGAGTTCAGGTAGATTCCGTAACCAAGGGGTTTTGGAAGATCTGGGTGGTAAAAAAGGTGTAGGGCTTGTAGGGTTCAGTGTCCTACGCAAGTAGCTCCACGAGCAAGGCCCCCAGCTCGAGGCACGTACGGCTCACCAACTGGGAAACAAACCTTCACCTTCTGCCTACAGGGCTTACTACGCATCCGGTTCAGCAGGCTCTGTCGGGTTTAGGATATGGGGCTTTGGGCTTAGGGCTTAATGGGTTCAGGGTTCTAGCTTTATCAGATTACGGTTTCGGGCTTCAGGGCTTCGGGATTGTATGGTTGAGGGCTATTATGCTTTGAACATGGCTCGACACTCTTCGTCTTGCAAGCAAAATGGACGACTGCGAATGTAAAAGCCGCTGTATAGTATAGGGGCATTTATTAGTTATGAAAGGAATCTAGGGGCCTAGGGGACTTATGGCATAATAGGAGCTGGGGTTTGGGTCTGCGGCGTAACGGTGACATATCCAGCTCAATGTGTGAAGATGAACAGACCCAGTACGTGGCAAGGGTGCCCCAACTTCTAAAACCATATTCCCTAAAGCACCCGGAATTGTAAACCCAAGACCATAAAGCCTACATCTTATACCCTAAACCCAAGACCCTAAACCTTAAACCCAAAACCATGACCCAAGACCCTGGACCCTAAACCTTAAGCCCGAAACCGTAAAGCCTAAACCTTATACCCTAAACTCAAAACCCTAAACCCCAGACCTTTAAACCCAAAACCTTACACCCTAAACCTTATACCCTCAACTCAAAGCCCTAGCCCCTAAACCTCAAACCCACAAACCTCAAAGCCTAAGCCTGAAGCCAAACCCGCCGAGCTCCGGGCTACAAGAGATCTCCACCATTGCAACCACACACCCACACACCCTAAGATGGCCCAAAGGGGCAGGGGCTGCTACTAGTATCTCTGATGCCAATGTAGCCAAGCAGGCTGCGAACGGAACGAACCGGGTAGTTGTCTAAATTAGGGTCCCTTTTTTTAAGTCCTTTTTATAAGGGTGCCGTACTATATTGGGGACCCAAAAAGGGACCCTAATTTAGAGAACGACCCAACCTGGGTCTGCAGATCGCACCAGAGAATGAGTCGCAGCCAGGCTGAAGGAAAGAGTGCATCGCCTGAATTGGCACGTGCGTACATGACATCAATGCTCGCGAATGGCAGGAAACAACCAGAGCCAGCGGGCACAGCTAATGTCAAGTTAAAAACAGGGACAAGACTTGCTGATGCAATGTTCAAAACGACATGGGTATCCAGATTTGTCATCCAGCAATCATGACGAGCCTGCAGGGTATGTGACTTCCAAAACAGGAAAACAGGGGCGTTTCGATGTCATCGATGCAGTTGCTACGTGTCACTGCCAGGTCACTGAGACATGTTTGGCCTGTGTGTTCAAGAAAGCTTAAACAAGCTCAAGCTGAAATGATGCATTGCCCGAATGCGGGTGCCATAATTCGGACTGGTTTGTGACAGGCGCGTGCGACGAGTACAACAGCCGTTAAAGTGCATGCTGTTCATGCAATTCGCCACACATCGGCGAGCAATGCGGCTAGAGTGCAGCGCGTGTTTGCAATCACCCTTGTCTCCCGCTGAGATTTTTGGCGTTGCTCGGCACAATGTCTCAGTCTCTGTCTTTGGACGACATCTGGGTAGTTCTCCAAAATAGTGCCCCTTTTAAGTCCCAAAAATAGTACGGCACCCTGATAAACAGGACCCCAAAAGGGACCCGCATTTAGAGAACTACCCATCTCGTCTTAGAGGTCTGCAGAGCCGCTTGGTGGCCGCTTTTGGTGCCGATGCCGGAAGCGCTGGGACCGATACACTGACACACACCACCAGGGTCTAGGGTTTAGGGTTTAGTGCTTAGGGCCGCTATCTAAACCAGCAGCGGGGTTGGCTAATACGGTTGATGATATAAATCCTGCGTTCCCCATAATAAGGAAAATACCAACCATATATCCCATAGCTTAGGGTCCTTAAGGGAAGGTAGGATTTGCATCATCACCAGTATGCTGAGAACTTACATCGAAACTGAACTCCTGTGTCGCACAGACCCACTCACAGGACATACCAGCCGAGGAAGGCCAGAAAGAATCGGAGTTACAACGAGAAGCAACCCAAAACACAAGAGACAATGCAAGATCGAAAGACTCTCCATAGATCTCCAACTCCTACCCAGAAACAGGAATGTGTATGCATATATATATATATAAACCCTAAACCCTAAAACCTCAACCCTATGCCCTAAACCCTGAACCCTAAACCCTGAACCCTAAAGCTCCCTCAAAATTCATTTCGACGAACTCGGCTCCAGCAAAAGCCCGGCGCTGGCTGGGAAGTGCCGTCTGAAGCTCAGAGACTCTCTTCGAGACCCCCTTTGCACTTCAGTAAAGGTTTAGGGTTTAAGGGTTTAGGGTCGAGGGTTCTAGGGTTTAGGGTTTAGGNNGGGTTTAGGGTTGAGGGTTGAGTGTTAAGGGTCTAGGGCCCCTGTTGTTAATTCTCATTTTTAGGTGCAGTTCGTCGTCGATTGCTGCTGATATAACAAAGCCTGCCCTTATATTCCACTAGGCCATGATGTCGCCAAACCCCCCCCCCCGTTTATTCCTCTTGCAGGGCTCGCAGAAAGGCCGCCCCGCTTCTCAGTGGATCTCAGGGAGCTTGGGCAGCTTGTGGTCTCGCAACCAGGCATTCACCTCGGAGGGTTTAGGGTTTAGTTTTTTTT